GATCGTTTTTAGTGTGCCCCTGAAGTCCGCCCTGCGGGTCCCTACTTTGGGATATGGTGCCCATGGAGGAGCGGGGTCAATATCGCCAGATTCCTTATTTACTCGGTTGTCGTTCCCTTCTAGGGGCTAGGTTTGGGATGGTGGTTTTGGGGGGCATTGTGGGCTTCAGCTGCACTATCTCCTGGGTACGCTGGGCTTTGCCTGTTGGGATTGCCCTTGGGGCTGTATGGGGTTCCTTCTGGGCCTCCCTTAATGGTGACTTGTGCAATCTGGCCCCCTAAGTCCTTTCCGCTGATTCCGACTGTTTGTCGCTGCAGCAGGTTTGGGGGTTTTTGGGCCATTTTGGGCTCTCAATGGTGTGCTGACTCTTGCCCATTACGCTGGCAAGCATCGGGGCTCTGGCGGACTCTGGTGTTCTTGGAGCTTCCTCTTTCTGGTGGCATGGTAGGCATGGGGTACCCAGTTCACGAACAGGTGGGTGGTTTTTCCTTTGGGACCATCATGGGGTGGTGCTGGCTGTCTTTATCATGTGACATTACCCTCTACCCGGTGGTACTCTGGTTGCGGCACCTGGCTCGGCGCTACTTGAGTCTGAGGGTGGCTGGTCAGGGAGTTTGTCCGGGTATTCCCAATGTGATGGCCGATGCTCTGTCTTGTTCATTATAGGGCGTACTTCGGGCGGAGGTATCGCGGGATCGATTTATAGGGCAGTGGAGGTATCGCGGGATCGATTTATAGGGCAGTGGAGGTGTGGTCGCTTGGTCCAACAGACTGATGAAGCTGGTCCGTGGGTCGATCTCTGAGGCAGCGTGGGGCCTGCTCTAGTAAGGTGGCAGTGATTGGGACAGATGGGAACGTTACCTTGGGGGTTCCAGGAGTGGACTGCTCATCTACATGTTTGGTTCCATCTATTACAGGCGTTGGGGGTGATTTATGCGATTAGCAGGGCTCGGCTTCCCGTTCATGTTGTGGTTGTCGGCAATTGGGAGGGTGTTTTGGTGGCGTTGGAATGGACTTCCTTCAGGTTTCGCCGCTCGGCAGCTGTTGTCGTTGGGAAGGGTAAGTCGATTGCGGTTGGCTGATTCGTCGATAGAATCTGTGCAATTCTTGGATGTTGCGGGGTTGACATGCCCTGGCCTTTCTGCATTCTCCAGAGGTAGATGGAATGCACGGGGTAATGGTTGGGCTCCTAACATGATGTAGTGGGTTCCTAGGATAGTCTGAAATATACCGTTCCGATCAGGGGCGGTGCCGGGTTCCGTCATTTGCATGTTTTTCATTGGGAGTGCTATTCCGTCCTCTGGATTATTCGGCCTCCTCACCATTGTTTGGTTCTTGGAGATGGGTTTTCTCTCCTACGTCCATTTAGTTGGGGTGTTCCGCTTGGGGCTCGAATTCCTGGATAAGGATGGTGGGGAGTTAAAGGGACATTTCATTTCGGTTGGGGGCGGCTACAGACGCTGCCAGGCTTGGCATGCCTGCACCAATGGTTCAGAGGGCTCGAATGGTGGGAGTCAGGGTGGTGGGTTCCTTAGGTTCACCCTGCTGGTCTCTGTATGGATTTCTCTCCACGGTTACGGTCTCCTCCCTCCCCTCTCCCCCCCCCCGGAATGGGGATGGTGGGATGCTCGTATGTAATTTGGGCCTGGAGGCGGGGCGAGTGGTTAGATCTTACGCTTTCGGGAGCGGAGGTTCGGTGGTCTGGCACCAGATTTACAATTCACTCACCATGATTTATCATTGATAGTATGCTAATGGATAATGTAACCTATCTTTAACTATAAATTTTTTCACTTGTCAGAGAATCTATACTTTCACTGAATTTTGTCTGTTTTCTTTCTAGTGTCATTATGATAAGGAGCTTACAGCTCATCATTTATTGTTTACATGTTTGACCCAGTAAAGGACTTTCATCGTCGGCTACTGTTCGTCAGGTTACACCGTTTACATGGTTGATTAATGCCAGCTACAGCAAGAAAGAGGAGTTGGGAGGATCTTGAGGACACTATATGACATTGTTGTACACTTTGATTGTTTTAATTTTTTTTTTACATCATTGTTAATTGTTTCTTTGCTGCTGGGAGGTTCAGTGAGGAAAGATTAAGCAAATATTTGTCTCCTGTCATTAATAAAATTTAGATAATTCCTTCACTAAAGCTAGAATAATCCTTAATTGTCTAAAGCTAAAATGGCCACTGACCCCTCCTAACTGACCACTACCTATGCCCACTGACCCTCCCCCCTTACACACAGACATCTAAACAGCCTAGCCCTACTCAGTCCACTGTCAAGGATCACTCTGGCTTAGGCTGATCCCATGAGCAACAGGAATGAGGGTTTTAAGTGGAAAAGCTGCTAAGAATTAAATTGCCCATTCAGCAAGAAATGTCTGCCACTGAAAAGAAACTTCATAAATAAACTTGCTCAAATTAAGTTACTTTAACATGGGACAGGTAAGTCTAACAGCCACTAGAGACAATTCTAAACATTGGCAATTAAACATATTATTGCTTCTGAGAAACAGCAAAGAATAGGCACGGCACCTATGCACCTAAATCACTATATTACAATGTAGTAGTTGTGGTATCTAGAATGGCCCTTTAAAGGTGTGGCTGAAAATATGAGTATGGTATCTTAAGAGGTGAGTGTGAGAAGATTCCAAGTGTGCTTAATTAGGTTTCTGAGAATGCAGGGAAGAACGGTAAACATTTGGCCTGGGATGTGCAAAACAAATGACTGAACTTTGTGCGCAGTTTCTATGTGGACGGTCATCATGCAACGTGTGATATATGGGTTTGACACTGCTAGATATGTGAGATGTGACATTTTATATCCCTTTTAACTCTGTCAGCATGACCTACAACATGGTGGAAAATTCACAGAGATCTGTGCATTCCTTAGAGCAGGGGTCCTCAAACTGTGGCCCTCCAGACGTTGCTGAACTACAACTCCCATGATTCTCTGGCTATCTATGTAATTCAAAGAATAATGGGAGTTGTAGTTCAGCAACATCTGGAGGGCTACCGTTTGATGACCCCTGCCTTAGAGACATAGACTCTGTTTCCTGGGATCTCTGTTAATCTTTTTATAGATGTCTCATTTCACCTTGTAGCCACTTGGAAATACCTCCAGCATCTCCATATATACTCAGGGCCGGCGCTTCCTATAAAGCGAACAAGGCAGCCGCGTAGGGAGCCATATAGGAGGGGGCGCCCTGCACCCCCATCGCCGGCCCTTTAAATGCTGCAGCACTCAGGCGGCTGCCGCACTGCCTCTCTCCTCACCTCCCCTTCCCTGTAGTGTGGCCGAGCTCCTCTCCAGTCCACGACCCGGCCGGACTGATAGGAAGTGCACACTCAGTGTGCACTTCCTGTCGATCCGGCTGGGTACAGGAAACAGAAACTCCTGTACCGCAGACCGGAGAGCAGCTTGGCCACGCTACAGGGAATGGGAAGTGAGGAGAACACAGAGAGGGAGGGAGGGGGGTAAGAAGAACTGGGGGAGGGGGAGTAAGAAGAAAACTGGGGGAGTAAGAAGAAGGGGGGAGGGGAGTGAGAAGAAAACTAGGGGAGGGGGAGAAGAGGGGAGGGGAGAGTAAGAAGCACACAGGGAGGAGGGAGGGGAAGTAAGAAGCACACAGGGAAGGGGTTGAGGAGAAGGGGAGATAAGGAGAACACGGGGAGGGGGGTGAGGAGAAGAACACAGCGAGGGGGAGTGAGAAGAACATGGGGGCAGCACAAAGAACACAGGGAGTGGGGGTGAAGAGAACACAGGAGAGTAGGAGAGAAGAACACAGTGGAGAGGGAGGGGAGAAGAAGAACACAGGGGGTGAGAAGAACACAGGGGAGGGGGGTGAGAAGAACACAGGAGGGGAGGTGAGAAGAACACAGGGAGGGAGAGGAGAAGAACACAGGGAGGGGAGGTGAGAAGAACACAGGGGAGGTGAGAAGAACACAGGAGGGAGGGGGAGGGAGGTGAGGTGAGAAGAACACAGGAGGGGGGGTGGGGGGTGAGAAGAACACAGGAGGGTAGGGAGGTGAGAAGAACACAGGGAGAAGGGAGGGAGGTGAGAAGAACACAGGGAGGGTAGGGGGGGTGAGAAGAACACAGGGAGGGTAGGGGGGGGGAGAAGAACACAGGAGGGTAGGGGGTGAGAAGAACACAGAACACAGGAAGGAGAGTGGGTGTGAGAAGAGACTGCTAGGGGAGGGTGGGGGTGAGGAGAGACCACTAGGGGCAGGGGAGAGCTCTAAGGGACAGAAGGGAGAGCTCAATAGGACAGGTAGTCTTTCACACTACGTGCACACACACAATGCATCCCTACACACACACACACACACACAAACACAACATGCTTCCATTACACACAAACACACAATGCATCCATTACACACACACACACACACACACTGCAACCCTTACATACAAAGACAATCCATCCTTTGAACACATACACAGAAACACACAATGCATCCCTTACACACATGCAAACACACACACTGCTTCTCTTACATACACACAGAAACACAATGCATTTCTTACACACACTCAATGCACACTTACAGACACACACCTTGCATCCCTTATGCATACAAACACAGATTCAGACAATGCATCCCTTACACACAACCAGAAACACACAATACATCCCTTATACACAAACACACACTGCTTCTACTACACACACATACACACACTGCATCACCTACACAAACTGATATCCCTATACACTACATTCCATAAGCACACACACATATTAGATTTTCTACAATAACACATCCCCTACACACTCCACTCCCTGTGAGCGAACTCATGGGTGGAACATATAGGTG